CCCTAATTTTGGGTTCATTCGAGTTCTGAGACTATTTGTTGGGTGAATTACTTGTTCATCATCTTTGAATTCGATTGGTTTCAAAAACCCTAATTTCTTTAGGGCCTATTCGGGCTTCTGAAGCTGTTCCATCTGTTTCTTTATGCGATTTGGTTTCTTGCAATCATTGAAACTCGAATGTACTTTTTTTAGAAGGGCCTTTAATTGACCCTTTGCATGCTTCTGATAATCTCTCCTTTCTTTATTACTAAGTTAATGAAGTTTGACCTAGGTGACTACCATGTTTCGATAGTTCACAGTCTACTGACTTTGTGATTGTTATTGAATGCTGCTTTTCTGTGCCATAGTGTAGCCTTGCATGCCTAATGCTTATGTACTCTATTATATATTCCCCTCTCAAATGACCTTCAATTTTGGATTGATTTCAAACCATTCCTTGTAAAATTCTGATTGCACTCGTATGTTAAGTAATCGATTATTTCCTTGTTTTGCCTTACTGATTTCCCTGTTTCTTGGCCTAATTTGAACACTTTCCTTTGAACCTTCGATCCCTACCTTTTCTACTCAATATGATTGATTCTCTTACCTTGGTTACATTGGTACTTGATTCTTACCGACATTTTCTTGATTAGAATCTGATGAACCTAGTCTCTATTGCATATTGTGTACTTGTACTATGCTCAAAATATTTCCTTATTGGTTATATTCAGCCTTATGTGATTTCTTTCCTTATTTAGTATTTACATGTTACCGTTTAGTTTAACTCCTTAATTAAAGGAAGTACTTATACTGATTTGATTTTAATTAGTACATAGTTCCATAATTACTGCTAAACTATGATTCTTGCCTTATTTTCTACCTGTTTTCAAACTATAAATACCTTGCCCTTTCATTAGCACAGACGAACATTCTGAGTTCTGAACTCATCCTTACACTAAAAGAACACTCTCTCTTGCTCTACTGCTTCTACTGTGGCCTGTTTAGCTAGTTGAAAGCCAAAGCTACATTTCAAAAGTCCTACTACCTTTCTTTACTACATTTTGCTCCTTTGAACTGGTATGTTCTAGTTAAGATTTCAGCATCAACAACAACATGGTTACTTAATGTTCTTGCATTCTTGTCTGCCTATTGCTTCAGTACTTTATTTAGCATGCTGTAATTTCTTTTCTCCTGTTATAAATCAATGTATTATGAATCCTAAATCCCTACCCCAATATGTTTGATAATTATGGTTTGGGGCATGATAGCATCAAATATTGCTGAGCATGATTCAAACTTGGTCCTCCTAGGATCATAACCTCCATGCCACCTTTATATGTTGCGTGCTCTGGTTGATNAGCACCTCTTCCTCTTCTTTACTTCCTTAGTTCTTAAAGCTCTGTTTCTGCACTTGCACTATCTTCCTAGACTTATGTTCCGGCTCCCTCATGTGAGCCTTGCCTTGGGACCCATGAGCTCGCTCTAGACTTGGACACATGAGGGCTGGTATTTCCATACTGCACTTGTCCCTGTTCTGGTTATAAAACTTGGGTGTGAGCACTGCCCGGGGTCCTTTTGAGGCCCTTAGGGAACTCTGACACACTCAAGTTTTAGAAAGGCTTTGAAACAAATGGCATTTGGAGTGGTTTGGTCCATAACTCAGAAAGGAAGTCAGGAATCTGGCTTCCTCTGATTGTAATTTTTTTTAATCTTCCGATGTAATTCATTACTGGGTCTGTAATAATTTTGTAATAAACAGTGGGGCTAGCTAGTGAAAAAAGGGTTGGGTATTTATGCATGCCAAGGGTAGAACCATGCCTATAGGACTATATTGATTCTGCATATTCAATCACATTTAGAAACCATGCCTATAGGACTATTTTGATTCTGCATATTCAATCATATTTAGAACCATGCCTATAGGACTATTTTGATTCTGCATATTCAATCACATTTAGAAACCAGGGTTACAGGATTATTTTAATTCTACATAATTCAAACTGCATCTAGAAATCATGCTCATAGGGATTTATTTACTTTACATGTTTAATATCACACCTAGATAACCAGCCTATAGGGCTTCATTTTAATTTTCTACATGTTAGGTATCATGTTTTAAGATTATAACATGTTTTAAGATTATAACCCAGTAGCATGTTAAAGTCAGTAACATATAGAAATCATGCCTATAGGGGTCCATAAGTATAATCTTGTTCGTTTCTGTTCACATGCAATTTGGATATCATGTCTATGAGAACCTAAAATCAGTAACGAATAGAAGTCATGCCTATAAGAATTCCGAATCATTTGTCTTAAAACTGTGCTGCTTTGCTATACTTCTGAATCAGTAATAGATATCATGTTCATAGGATCTCGCTCAAACACTTAGGCAAGCCTTAGGTGATAACGACCGATAAAACTGATTTCGCCTTTGTTAATTAATAATTGACACAATCAGTAAGCAAGTCTGATTCTGACTTTCTATCTGAGCCATGTATCAAACTAGTCTGCCTCAGCAACCTCCTCTCCTTCGTCTTTAATATTTTAATCAGACCTAATCAGTATGTGCAAGACATGCTATTTTATGTGCTTGTTTTGAGGAGATATACATGAGCCTTTGTTTGTTTATATGTTTCCCCAAACATGCAATATGTATTTTGTATGTCGCCTTAGAATTTTTACCTTTGAAACTTCAAATAAGCCTAATATGCCTCCCTTTTAGGATTAGTAATCCTAAGTGCCTCCGGGACTGATAGGATTGGGACGGGTAATAGCATGCAATAAGTAATCGAGATCAATCTGCGCTTTAATACCTTAACGGGGTGGGAAGGGTAGATATGGATATGATGACAACGCGATAATGTCACGTGTATTATTGAGGTGTGATTACTGGACATTGTGTGGGGTGATCCATATTGTTAATAAACCTAGGATCCCCCCTTCCTTTATTTCTTTATTCTTTTTAGCATTTTAACTCCTTATTTAAAAAAAAAATCAGCTCTTTGATTGTTCTTTCAAAATTATTCACTTTCAAACCATTACGTATTGAAATCCCCTCTTATTTGAGCCTTATCTGCTTATATGTTATTTGCACCCCAATTCACAATAACTGTCTGGCCAGGAACCACACTAGTGGATCCTGAGGGGTGCCTAACACCTTCCCCTTGGGATAATTTCAAGCCCTTATTCAATCTCTGGTTATTTAAACAAACTTAGAGTTAAATCTCTATTGGTGTCCTAATGTACCTTAATTATTAGGTGGCGACTCTTCAAATACAAACCCAGTTCCCAAAAGGAACGAGTTGTCTCTCCAAATGTCATAAAGCCGATTTCGCGAGAAAAACGGGGCGCGACATGTATTCCATGCATATTTAGAATTTTTGTACTTTGTTTATTGTCCATAGTAAGTGTCGATGTCGACCCTCGTTACTTCTTCTTCGAGGTTAGATTAGATACTTACTAGGTACATGTTGTTTTTGTACTAATGCTATACTACTGCACTAATCGTGCCGGATCTGAGGCAGGTGCATCTGGCAGTCATTCAGACGCGCACCCCTATTACCCCGTGGCATATTGGTGAGTTGCTCTCTGCGTTTGTTCTGTCCCCCCTCCCCCCAGTCTCTCTTTTGTATTTATTTTCTGTCTATCTTATTTCAGACAGTAGTATAAATAGTTTTGTATATTCTACTAGTTGCTCACACACTTGTGACACCGGGTTTTGGGAACATTCTAGTAGACACCTTATGATTTTGAGTATTAAATTCATTGTACTTCACTCTCTCGTTTGCTTATGCCTTACTTTACTATAAATTCCTACTAATTATTTTCTTAGTTAAATAAAATCAACTACTTTGAAATTATTAAAAAGGGCAACAACATGACTAGTTGACCGTAGGGCTGCTTATCGGGCGAATTGGACGGTTATTTACTCTTAACGGTTTGGCTTATCGGTTATCGACTTCTAAATGATTAATCCGCTAGCTATCCAATAATATATTGGGCGGATTGGTATCGATTTAGCTCTTATCGGTGGTTATCGGGCGGTTTATCGGCCTAATTCAATCTATATTCAATCAAAATTACTAGAAAATATGCACCTACAAACGGAGTACTAATTTAGAACCCATATGGGAGTATTAATCCATGTTTGGCTGTAGCTCCCTTACAAATTGAAAACTCACTTCATTCATGTTTACGACTAACATTTCAGGTGCATCACCTTTCATCAGGTGTCCGTAATATTCATTGTTCATTCCTGAAAAGACATCTCTACGCCCTCACCTATATCGTCTAACTGATGCATTGACTAACTTATCTTGTCCAGTTCAGTGCTGTTGCATCCTTTATGCATTATGCCTGAGAAAGACTTGTTTATAATGTAATACTACTTCATCTGTATGAGTATTCCAAAATATTTGTATGCTTGAATTTGATACTGAACTTTCTGCCTTTTGTAAAGTAATTAACAAGGATTATGTTACATATTTTTCATAATTTTGATTATTTAGGAATTAGGATAGAACTTAGAGATAGAGTACTGGAATAGTGGAAAAATAAAGTGGAAGGGTTTTTGATATTTAATATGTATATGGATAAAAATAACTTTATATATATATATATATATATATATATATATATATATATATATATATATATATATATATAAAGTTATATACACTCTTAACGGGTGAATAATCCGCCCCCAAACCGACAAGTCGTTAATGAAAAAATTTCAATCCGTTCCCCGTCCGTTAAACCGTTAACCCGATACCAATAAGCCATTAAGCTTCGGTTTCGGTTCGATTTTCGGTTTCGCTTCGGTTTTGAACACCCTTAGTTGACCGTTGGCTTGCCTAGTAGCGACGTTGAACGCTATCAGATCTATAGGGGAAATTGAGTTGTGACATTTGGTAGAATCTAATTACAGAAACCTAGATATTCCTTATGTCCAAATAATCCCTAAATAGAACAAAGTAGGACGTAATTATTATTCTCCTAGGAGTACATTTAGCCCCACTCTATTTCTATGATTGAAATTTTAGCTTTAAGAAAGTGAAAGACTTAAAATTTGGCAAGAGAGATGCAGATGTACGATATGGGGCACTATAATTGGTTGAAACACCAACTTAAATCTTGGTTCTGACCAAACAGCAAAAACAAAAACCCCAATCAGGACAACAACGTGAGAACTGAAATCTGTAAGAAAATTCACGCCTTCTGTTCATTCTATTTACCTTTATTATCAAGAATCACTCTACCCCATCACACCAAACATCACTATTTTTCACCAATTCCACAATCACAATCCCATAACTTTTTTTTGTATACATATATAGGAATAAATATATAAGAAGTGTTTATACAGTGGGATGAAATGATAAAGATGACAGCAGCTTCAGTGGGAAATGGGAATGAGGTATGGAGAGCTCATGGAACAATGGCTATGATACAGCTACTGTATGGTGGGTACCATGTTATTACCAAAGTGGCTCTCAATGTTGGAATGAATCAAATTGTCTTCTGCTTATATCGGGATCTTCTTGCTCTCTCCATTCTTGCCCCTGTCGCCTATGTTCGCGAAAAGTTAGTCCCTTTTTCTCTATGTTTCTCTTGAATCTATTATCCAAGAATGTATCTATTTATGCAGACATATAGTTTTAGGTCTAAGCTGTGGTGTTTGGGTCAGCTTGAGTAGATTTTGACTAATTCACTAAGCATGTTATTGCTCATTAGCATAGGTATGGGGTAAATCTGTCTTGTATTGGGTAAACCTATTTACCAAGATGGAGTAAATGAGCTTACACCAAGTTTTGTAGCTAGGATTTGGACCTAGGATCCCCAGGTTTTTACTCCTATGCCTCGACTATTTAGTCATACTCTTGGGGACATGGATTATAATTTTACATTGAGCCAAGTTTTGCAATTATACTTGGTGGAAGACATTTGCATTGATTTGTGTAATTTTGATAAAGTAAATGCAATTTTGTTATTAATGGGGAAAAACTCTAGTATCCAAGAGGCATATGAGAAAGGTAGAGAATGTATGGATAGATATGATTCTCTACAAAAGACACCCAATAAAAAGGGCAGCCCGGTGCACTAAGCTCCCCCTATGCGCGGTGTCTGGGTAAGGGCCAGACCACAAGGGTCTATCGTACGCAGCCTTACCCTACATTTCTGCAAGAGGCTGTTTTCGCGGCTCGAACCCATGACCTCCTGGTCGCATGGCAGCAACTTTACCAGTTACGCCAAGGCTCCCCTTTACGAAAGACACCCAATCTTATATACAAATAGGAACCTCATGGGTGCACCAAAAAGACATTAAAATAAGGAGGGTATTCCTCAAATGTGTAAAATCAAGCTGTTCCCATTCAAATCTCTCCTATTTTTCTCTCTCCATATTGTCCACATAAGTGCTACTGGAGCAATGTTCAAAGCCCGTTGTCTTGTCTCTGGTCCTCTAAAGGCCCAATTGAATAGTGCATCCTTCGTAGTACCTAGCTCGGTACATTGTACCCCGGACCATCTTATGATCTCCTACCATAGACATAATGCTACATGCAGTTAGATGATCAATGTCCTCTCCTGAGTGTTTACACATAAACACCAACTAACATATGTAATCTCACTCTTCCTCAAGTTTTTGTCCGTCAGAATTGCACCACTAGATGCCAAACCAAGCCAAAAAAAAATTGCTTTTTCTGGCACCCTAGGGATCCAAACCAATAAATGAGGGCAACTCGATTTCTCTCTAGCTAGCAACTTGCAGTAGTCTTTTTACTGAGAATCGTCCGCTGCTCGCAAACATCCATTTCCAGGAATCCTGATTGTCTACCATTAAAGTTTGTTTATGGAGCAAAACTCCCTTATCTCCCAATCCTGAAGGTTCCTTCTAAATTTGAGATCCCATGTAACACTCCCCTCATGTAATCTCCAAGCTTGTTGCGTTGTCATCTCCTTTTGGCACCAAATGTTGTAGATGTTTGGAAAAGTAATCAGCAACAGGTTGTCCTCGTACTGCCTGTCCCCCTAAACTAACCCTGCACCCTCCCTCACCCCTGATGAGATACAACCGTTAAACTCTTTTCATCCCTTCATAATATTCCTCAAAAGGTGTTTGCATTGATTTGTATATTAAAGAATGTTAAAAGTTGTGGAAGGCATGGGCAGGCAGATGCATAATTAATAACAGATGTTATTCGTAGTTAATTCATGTTCCGTCCTTTCTACTATTCATGTTAAAAAATATTATTTCTAGATTTACTGAAACTCATTTTGCTACAATGTCTACTAGTATGTGTTTATGACTTATGAGAGTTTGGTCGACTGCCTGAGCTTGTTTACCTCATGCCAACCGGCATTGCATCTTGAGTTTCTGTAGTAAAAGCTACTTTTTGTCTTAAAAGTTTGGTTAGTTAATGTTTCATAAAAGAATTATGTTGTTATTTTCATCTTTCCTTTATGTGCTTCTAGTTGACCATTTTGATGGATTAAGATAATTTCTGAATTCAGTTTGAACTTATTGCGTTCCATTACTAATTGACTTGGTAATCCACTATGATTACACCTGAAATTATTCTGCTATTCTCCCATTTGAAGATTTGAGAATGACAACCCTATAATAGTATGAACTCATCACAAGCTCTCAAAATGAATGCTGACTTGCTTATCTTGATGTGTGAGATGGATCTAAAGAAAGAGCTATTAGATTCAGTAAAAATGGCAACGAAAGCCCGATTGAGGGTCTTGCTGCTCAAGAATGTTTTTTTTTAGTGAAGCAATTTTCTTCGACAAACATAACATATGGATACATTCTTTTTAAAAATACTCATATCATGTGTATACAGTCTCGGACTTCACATAAAGAATTCTTTGTTGATATTATGAGTAATATCTCTTTTACTTGAAATTGTTGCTCATGTCTCTAGCTTTTGCTCTCTCATTTATTATCTGATATCATTGTTTATACATATTTGTTTAAATGTGAAATTCATTGCTTGCTTTGTGTTAGTCCTCTTTGCAGTACTTGAAACATTTTTTTTTTAATTTTTATTAAATGTCAGCATCTAAAGCATTTTTCAAAATTTTGAAGTTCTTTTTTAAATTAATTGCAATATCAGAAAGTACATGGTGCAACACTAATAATATTTCCTTCCATTCTATGTCTAGGCGGTCGAGAATTCCTTTAAATAAGCGGCTTCTACTATCATTCTTCATTCTAGGATTAACCGGGTAAGTTTGATGTGCCTACTGTTCTGAGTAGATTTGTGTGATTAACTTGTATAATTCTTACACTGAACAAAAACCTGATTTTTTGATATTTTTCTTGTTTCTTGGCAACTGTAACAGTATTTTTGGGAACCAACTTTTGTTTCTTTTTGGTCTTGGCTACACAAATCCAACTTATGCTGCGGCCGTGCAACCTGCAGTACCAGTCTTTACATTCATATTTGCAGTATTGATGGGGTCAGTAAGAAATCAACCCCTTTTCTTTGAATTCTGTATCTGTGTCTCTTTCACTCTAAATTCAAGTATATTTCTGTAATCAATTGTGGATAATTTTGTACTGGAAATTGGAGAAGGGGGACTTGGAATCTTGTGTCTCTTTAGGATGAAATGCTATAAGCTGATATTATTGTATTCTTCAAGAAAACCTGAAATGGCTTTGTCTAAATTGAATTAGTAATACGCGACACTAATTTTCACACCTTGAATGAGAATGAGGATTTCGATAAATATGATACTCTGTGTCTTACAAGTGTACGGCAGTGAGGTTAAAACTTTTATAGTTCATAACTGTGTTTTCAATATTTTTGGATATCTACAAACTTTTATTAAGGATTAGCTATAAAAGAGTTATATAACAGGTTCATCGGATGAGACTGCTCTGCGTACAGAGTAAGATAACATGTTTGGTGTTTATATAAAGTTCCACTATTATAGTTCTATTGCAGTCAAAGTAGTATAGGTGAACCAGTTCAGTAACTTTAAAGATGGTGGGTATCCACATAATCGGTAGATATAGGGGCACTTTACAGGAAACTATGAACATAGTTGTTGAAAGGGATGCTAAACTCTTTCGCCGTTGACTGCTTCTTAAAAAAGAAGGAATCTATGCAGCTATGCACATTGTATTGCTTCCTACATTTTCCACCAAAAAAATTGGTTTCGGAACAAATTATTTCTGGGATATTTTCTGAAGCTATAAGAGAAGACCTGCTAACTATTTTTGTCTTGAAGCATTTCATTTATCGAAGGAGAGTGGTAATCAAGGTATCCATTCTTTTATTGCTATTTGACATATTTACTTGTGACATTTTGCAGTTTTATCATTTGGTTTTAGTAATAAAAGCATGCTAAAATTGACACCCTTGATACTCATCTGTGGATTCTTTGTTATTCTTTTCTGCTTGGCAATCTTGTCGACAAAGTGGCTGTCATCCTCAATCTACCACCTTCTATTTTGTGTTATTTTCATGTATTTGCACATCCAGTTGTCTGTTGTAGTTGATGATCTGTTCAACTTTACTCTTAAATGTAATTTTATGCAGTACAGAAACAGTGAGGCTCTTTACAGTGGAAGGTCAAGCAAAGGTTGGAGGTACAATTGTTTGTGTTTCTGGGGCTATTTTAATGGCCATCTTCCGTGGACCTGTGGTTTTTGGAAACAGAGACTCAGAATTCATAGGACATAGTGATATAAGTGCTAGGGGTCAGCCAGAGCCCACTGGATGGTTAATGTCAAGATTTCTGGAGTTGGGGTTCGATGATTGGCACCTTGGAGTTTTATGCTTAATAGGAAACTGTATGTGCATGGCGGCATACTTAGCCATTCAGGTAATTTGGTAAAATTTTCCCTTTCATTGATTCCAATAGACTCGATGAAAACAAGATATTTTTCTCAGTAACAAACTTAAAAGCTGCACAGCGATATATACCTGCTAAAATATACAACAGTTTTAGGCCCATTATCCACTGAGTTTCGAACCGTGCGCTAGTCGGCAGTCGCGACTGGCCTCGGGGATTTCTTGGTTATGAAAAAGATAAATCTGAAAAAACAGGTTCTATAGTCAATGAGATAATGAACACTTCCTTGAACAACATGTGGCTAATGTGATTTGGCATGCTTTTGTTGAGTACATATGCTCGTTCCTAAGATTGACAGTCTGAATTCAATGAGACCCCTTGAGACTTTGTTACTTTAGGGATGTAAATTTGGCATGTGACTGAAATTACGGTAAATTGTGCATGAATGTCAATGAAAATAGGGTTTGTGAACCATTAATTTCTACTGATCAGACAAAGTCACCAAACACTTATTTGACAACTTCGAACTTAATTTTAGGCCTCTTTTTGCTTGATTGAAAGTGATGCTGAGTATTTAAATCTTTGAAAAAAAAATTACTGCATTAGTTTCTAACCAAAATAATCTTTATTTGGTTGGAACACAATGTTCATTGTTAGATAGTTTAGACCTTGGCATTGTTGAAGCATTATCTGGAAGACCCTTGACCTTGTCTGGTAAAAACTATTCTGTTTGTATTGTTTTCAAATATGCTGAGTTGGCTGAATATTAAGAATTTTTCAGGCTCCAGTTTTGGCAAAATACCCTGCGAGTATATCAGTGACAGCATATTCCTACTTTTTTGGTTGTCTTTTAATGATAACAACAGCCTTCTCGATGACTAATGAGTCAACAGACTGGAACTTGACACAATCGGAAGTTTTCGCTGTGTGCTATGCCGTAAGATTCTCTTCATTCTCTTATAGTTTCTGTCTGAAGCAGGTTTGAATTACTGTCTTTGTCCCTAGTTTCAAATTATAATGACATGTCAACTAGAAAAGATATAAGATACATTAAGCTGCTGCAATTTCAAGAACACCATGCCTGATCGATATATGATTTCAATGGATTATTGAATATGCTATGGTTTGGCTCAATGGGTCAAAGGAGCAGCAGTGAAATACGCCGCAGCCTCCAAATGGATAAGTGTTCAGCTTGCTGCCTCCCGCTTCCCTACAGAATGTCTTGAAAAGTAAATGCATTGAATTTCTGAGTGCAAAGACTTCCTAAATGAATCGGTTCTCTATCTCTTTGGCATCTAGGTCTATTTCTCTTTTATGTTCTCCATATTTCTATCTTCTCCGATCGTAGCATTTGAAAACAAATTATGGATGCATCTCTTTTGTTTCCCTTGCTCCAACCAAGAAGACAGGAATAAAAAGTGATGATTACTCTTATTCCCTTTCGTTTGTCTTTTATATCAATTTACCGATATATCATAGCTCTTGAGCCCGATCTTCAATTTTGATCACGCTTGAATCAAAAGTTTTTGTGTAGATATATGACTGTCCTTTTAACTTTTGCTACGAGCTATGCAAAACGAGTCCCTTCCTATCAGAGTATTAGTTCAGTTTTTTCCATCTAATCTTTTCATTAATAACGTTTCCGCCATAACTGCCCTTGTCAACTTTGATTCCTCTTAAGCAACATCCCC